AAAAATTGTATCATTTTAAACTAGCCAGCTGGACTTACCTGTCCAACATTTCTGATCTTCAAGCAATGAACCAGAAGGCTAAATGAATTGTCAATTTCTAATCTTGACACAGTGTAGAGAACAAAGGAAAAAAGGTATTTTTTGGTTATGGTTTAATGAGCGCCTAAGATGATGAAAATTCTTGTGTTTTATGTGTATATAAATACAAACACTGAAAAGGCTTGAGAGTACTTTAAGTAATTCCTTATATTATTATAAACTTAGCATCATTCTTTTCTTCAACACATATATACATACTGAAATGAAAAAAGAAAAAAAAAAGAAAAAAAAAAGGTAAAAGAGCAAAAGTAAAGAGTGCAAATTTATTCGCCAAAAGCGTCTTCGATAGAGCTCCTGAAAACTTCTTCACTACCTTTCCAATCCAGAGGTGTCACAAATGGTGTTCGCGCTAACGAAGATTTATCGGAATTTGATTAACAAACCTCAGGAGTTAATTTTATTAATAAATAAATATTATTTAAATTAAAATTAAAATTTTAAGGTTGACACATACGCTTAGTTTGATAATATTAGTCTATAATTATAGTTATAGGTTTTTTTGATCCTTTAATATTTTAAAATATATAAAATATATTTTACAGATTTAATATTTATTTTAATTAATATTTTATATATTTTAAAAATAATATAAATATTCTTTAATTTTTGTTTTTTCAAGCTATCTAGATGGACTTACCTCCAAACATTTCTGATCTCCAAGCAACCAATCACAAAGCTACAGACTTGGCAATTATACATAATTGAAAAGAATTCCATAAAAAAAAATATGTATAGAAAGGATAGTTTTTTGTTTTTCTTTCTATAATTTAATAAGCTCCAAGGATGATGAGAACTTTTGTTCTCTATATATATCTCAAAATGGAACTACTTAAAAGTTATTCCTTACTTATCATAAATTAAAAAGTAGTTAATTATATATTTTTATTCTTTACTTCAAACTACATTAACATTATTCTCAGTAAAAGAAAAAAGAGAGTAAAAGTTGTCCATAAGAAAGGAATATATAGTAATACTATATTTACAATACTATCTAAAATTGTAAATTTATAATTATTTTGTAGTATTAAGTAAGTATAATGTAGTATTGAATGATAGATGTATGTATATTATATTATAAATAAATTTTTAAATGAAAAAATTAATTATATAATAATATATTATATTATAAATTTATAATATTTCATGACATTATAATTATAATATTTTCAAAGGATGTACATGGGTTTGAAGGAATTTTTCAAAAGAACACCTGAAAACTTTTTCGCTACCTTAGGAGTTTGATTGCTGTGATATTGGTCTTTGATTGCTTCTTTGCTTTTCAGTGGGGTTCGTTTGTTTTGAAATTTTAATATTCTCTGATGAAATCACAAGCGAAGGTAAATTTCAAAAACATGAGATAAAATATACATTTTTTATTTTTTGGTTTGTCTGGATTAAGTTTAAGAGAAAGAGACTAAGAAATAGGTAAATAAGGATGTTAACTTAATTTATATATTTTTTAATTTAAATATATTAATTTTGTTAATTTCTCATTAAAAATGTCAACTTTCAATTTTTTTATTTAAGAATAGTAACTTTTAATTTTTTTTATTTAAAGATATCAACTTTTAACATTTCAATTAAAAAATTTATTTATCATATCAACATTATTATCCAATTAATTCTTAAATAGAAAAAAATTAAAAATTAGTATTTTTAAATAAAAAAAATTAAAAATTGATATCTTTAAATAAAAAATTAGTATCTTTATTTAAAAATTAATAAAATTAATATCCTCAAATAAAAAATACAAAATTAACATCCTTATTTACACATTTTCTTCTTTTTCACTATCTTAGGAGTTTGATTGCTGTGATGCTAGTCTTTGATTGCTTCTTTGCTTTTCAGTGGGGTTTGTTTGTTTTGAAAATTTAATATTCTTTGATGAAATCGCAAGCAAAGGTAAATTTCAAAAAGAACATGAGATAAAATATACTGTTTTTTTTTTTTAATGTTTGTGTGGTTTAAGTTTAAGAGAAAGAAACTTATACAAAAGAAATTGAGAAAGTATTCTAAAAAAATTAATGATTTTTATAACAAAATTTTGTTATGATTTTTAACATTCCTATGTTTAGATAAAGGCAAAACTCACTACTAAGCCCCTAAGCTTTCTCCATTTTCGAGTATATGCCCCCAAATTGATTTTTAATTGTATAAATCCTTAAACTACAGAATTTGATGCAAATTAACCCCTTAGTTAAGGGTTACGGTTTGCCTCCGTTAATATTAGTTGATGCCCGCTGGTCTCCTTCATCGTGTCTTTCAAAAAATGATAAATTTCAATTTACTCCACATACTTTTCAAAATTGAAATGGAATTAGTCCCCTACACTTTAGCAGTTTAACTAGTTTACCGTAGCTGCCCAAGATAAGAATAATGAAAGATTGATTTGCAACTAATTAGTGATTAAGCTTTTCAATCTATTCAGTACGAATAGAGAAGATTGATTATGTGAATTGTAAAGTATATACGGTACCTTCTCGTCGGGAATGGATGCCTTGAGGAAACAAACAAGGAACACATAATGTGTGGAAAATGTCAAGGTCCATTCCAATGTTTTAAAAACCGGACCGGACCGGCCGGTTGAACCGGTCGGACCGGTACCCGGTACAATAAACGGTTCGAGTTAAGGTTTAGAACCGGTGAAGCGGTTGAACCGTTCAAAACCGATGAAACCGTTCAGACCGGTACAAACCGTTAAACCGTTCAACCGGACGGTTTAAATCTTTTGGAAAATTTCCCATAAAGTTGTCACTGCAGGCTTCGAACACTAGACTCATTAAGCATTTTCCATCACCTTTGCCACTGGGACACAACCCCTGCAATTGTAAAGGGTGGCTTAAAATTTTATTTATTTTATGTTTACGAAGAAAAGAATCGCTCTCCAGCTTACTTGAACTTTC